AAGTGCCAGGAGCTTGGTCCCACTGAACTAGGAAAGACTCCCAGGGATCATGTGGTCAAAAAATACTGATACTGCATCAAGGGTGTTTAAAAGCTTCATCGAGGAAAAAAAGCTTTGCATTAGGGGCCAGCTTCTGACCGCCAGTTCCTGAAATTTCTGTCTACTGAAGGTGCCCTGAGTTTTCAATTTGTTCACACTCAGGGGGGTGAGTGTGGGCCTAGACGACTGCAGCAGAGGAAGGGCCACTCCCCTGGAGGTCCCATCTCTTCCTTAGAAGATCACACCTTTCTCATTTCTTACTGCACCCCTACCTGTATTGAGAAAAACCCTTCCATTCTGTGCATTAGAAAGAGCCCCGAAATACCACAAAGGAAGTCTCTGGACAGGCCACAAAGCCCTTAATTTGAGGGGCATGTCCAGCAATGAGCACGGGCTAGTCCCTTAGGCCCCTGGCTCTAGCCTAGGCTCTGAGGCCCCCTGGACTCCTACTCCCTTTCATCTAAGCCCAAGCACCTTAACTCCAGCCCACCTTTCCTGACTCGTCTGTAGCTTGTCCAGCAAATGTCTCCTTCCCACCTGTATTTGGCAGAAGTTGGAGGAGTTGGAGGCGAGGAGGTAGAGAAAACCTCAAACACAGAGGCTGAACAATAGTATGGAAGCCATCATTTCCAAAAGGAATTCAGTGACTTTCCATGGGTAGATTTAGAATACAGATATATAAACTACTCCGATGGTTCAGCGGAATAGAAGCATACAGCACGTGTGAGGAGTCTTCCAGTTTCACTGGAGTACTGAGTTTGTCAAAGAAAGCTCTGAAGATCAAGCTGGATTGTTTGGGGTCAGATTCGAATGCCCTTGCATTCTAGACCAAGGATTTCCATTCGTTCCTCAGTGTGCTCCTGCCAGGAAACCTGAAACACAAATAGCAATTCAGCCTTCATCCTTGACAATAAACCAATCAGAACAGGGGCCTCTAGCAAATCCTTGATAGCACGAGATTGAAGATCTGTTTCTTTTAAATCATGCCATGAAAATAGATGACGGTTCGGGAGGAGGACAGCTGCACAGGAAGAGTCCTGTGATCACAGGAGTGGCTTGCTGAGCTGGTGCACCCAGTGCTGCATTACAGCATTGTGGACGTGACTTTCAGGCCCGGCCACAAAGAACACATAGGCAGAATGTAAATGTTCTCAAACTTAGTAGTGAAAATATTGAGACTCCTTAAGGAGGCAGGGCTGGGAGTTCAGATCCAGAGAAAGATCAAGGAAGCTGACAACTTCTCTGTTCAGTAGGAAGAGATACAGCTTGCAGTTGATGAATCCAGAAGTAAAGGCCCAAGGCTGTTACTTAAATTATACAGATTACTAACAGAGGAAGTAAAGTAAGCACGTAAATGATTATGTTGAAATGTGTGGGCAGGGGAGGTGAGTTATAGTTTTACATGACCTGACTCATCATTAGGACTCAAGACATTTACACCTAAAATAAAGGACAATAAACTGCCACAAAAAGATTTATTTATCACGATGGTAGTAAGGGCCACAAGGAAGTGCTAACCAAAGTAAGAAGTGATTCTCTCTGGGCAGTAGTGATAGCAAAGAAGAGTTATTTGTCACCCACATGTAGAATTTTAAGAAAAAGGATGTGTAATTACTGTTCTTTAAGTATTGGGAACCAGTAAGGAAATGACTCTTTCACCAGTAACAAAGTTGTTTGAGTATTTTTTTTTTACTTTACAACAGTTTATTTTTACATCATTTTGTACATTTTTTTTCCATCTCATTTGTAATCCCCACGGGTTTCCCATCACCAAGTCACCCGTGTGTCATCACCATAATCCCGTGCACTTCCCTCCCCACCCCCGTTTTTGATCCCATTCCCCACTCCACCCCCGCAAAATGTCTCTGGTATATGGTTGTTCATTATTTTGGTATTTTCTCGTCTGGTCCATTATACTCCTGCTATGAGTGAAACCACCCGGTATTTTTCTTTCTCTTTCTGGCTTATCTCACTAAGTATGATCTTTTCCAGCTCCATCCAAGTTGCTGCAAAAGACATGTGTTTCTCTTTTTTGGTTGCTGAATAATATTCCATTGTATATATGCACCACATCTTTTTAATCCAATCATCTACTTTTGGGCATTTGGGCTGCTTCCATGTTTTTCCAATTGTAAATAAAGCAGCAATAAACATGGGGTGCAGGTATCTTTTTCAATCAGTGTTTTGTGTCTTTTGGGTAGATACCCAGAGTGGGATTGCTGGGTCGTAGGGAAGCTCCATGTTTAGCAGTTTGAAGAGCAGTGGTGATAGTGGACACCCTTGTCTTGTTTGTTTGAGTATTTTTTAAAAAGTATGTATTAGATGGGATTAAGAATATTCATAAGACATAAACTGTGAAATATACAAAGGACATTGGGTCTCCCTGGTGGCAAAGGGGTTAAATCACAGCACTATGAAGCTATCCACAGCCACTGTAGCCTGAGTTCGGTCCCCACCAGGGAGGTGACCCACATGGCACAGCAGACCTCTCCTGTCTCACCCACTGCTCCCCAATGTCTTCTGATCTCCACTCTGTAGCTGATGAATGTGCTCACCCCAGGCATCTCTGGCCTGTACCCTATTCCTTGTATGCATAAATAAATGAACCTTAAAAAAAAAGATACAGAGGACTTACAGTAATGCCTCCCTTTGCCCTAGAAATACCAGTTACTATTTCCTCTTTTTTCACAGAAAGTTCATGCACTTACAAATATGCATACACATTACATACATCCTCCTTCCTCTTCCTCCAGAGTATCTCCTTCTTCTACTCCCCCCCACCAGATTATCTTTTGACAACAAAAACAGGTAAGCATTCTATACCTGCAGCTCTCCAATTTGCATCTCTTTTATGCATATATCTCAGATTTTTCCTTATCGATTGTGAGCAACCTAGAAAGCTTGTTTTTTTTTTTTAAGTCAAATTTTATTATCATTTGCTTACAAAATGTTGTGAATTCAGGACGGCGTCACCCCTCATGTGTGGATGCTTCTTTTGTTGTTTACAGCTGGATGTTTTGGTGTAGGGATGGAGCAATAGAAAATGATAGTGCCTATGTCCACCCAGCTTCACCAAACTGGCATCAAACTGTGGGATTTTGACATCATTATAGGTGAAAAATGGTATCTCTGCCAAGTTTTAATTTGCATTCTTTATGTAGAGGCTTGAAAATTTTTTATATGGTTAAGAGTCACTTAGGTTCTTTTCTGGGAACAGATGTTTCCATTGCTTTTGTTCATTTATATTCATTAGTCTTTTTCCTCATTAATGAGTTGGGGCTCTTTATTAGGGAAACTATTAATAACTGCAAATATTTCTTTCTAGTTTGCCATTTGTCCTTTGACTTTGTAGCTCTCTGTGACATATGAAGTTTTGATTTTTGTGTCATAATTCAGAAACTTGGAGGTTAACACAAAATCTTCACAGCTTCTTCTAGGATTTATGGGGTTTCTTTTTCTTCTCTCTTTTCAAAACAATAATTTAGGTCCTTTATCTTTCAGGATTTTATATTAGCATAAGGTGTGCAGTGTGTATCCAACCTACTTATTTTTCCCCCAGCTGGCTAGTGGGAGTGTGTTTTGAGAGGGAAGCATAAAGGGACAGAGGTAGGGCAGCAAGCAGAGCAAGTATCGGAGGAAGTTTCCCTGATTAGTGGGTGTAGAAGAAACTGCAGGTGACACGACCTAATGAGATCACTCATGTGAAAGGTGAACCCAGGTATGCCTGAACTAGGACAGGGTGGCTGGAAAGAGAAGGGGTGGAGCTGGGGACCCAGAAGAGAGAATCCATAGAAATGTAAATTGGCTCACTGGAGAAATGCTAAAGAGGTAAGATGCCTTTTCCTATCTTCATGAGGTTATTATTAACTGAGAGAACTCCGTGTTAGTCAGTTCAGGTTACACACAAGCACAGGCAAGGATTCAAAGGTTAAAGCTTCACTGGGATACCAAGAGAAATGTTCAAAAAGCATGAAAATGTGGACGGGAGCCCGATCTGGTGATATATTTCCCTACTGCTCTTTCCAGGGCTCCGTGTCAGATTTACACCTGCGTTCATTTAGACGTATGCCTCACACTGAGGGCGACTGCATTCTTCAAACCTGTTGGCCGGATTAGTTCAATATCTGGATCAGACTGGTTCCTGGACTCAGGAGGCCTAAAACTGGGCATAAAGCCTCTAGCTAGGATTTTACTATTTTCAAATGGCTTGAAGGTGGTTTGGTTGGACCCGGGCTCTAAAGATGGAAAACAGACTCGAGAGAAAAGAGTTGCCCACTGTTCCAGCTGAATTCTCCACAGCGCCCATACAACAGTGGCAAAGCTTACATTTGCAAACACTTACTAGCTCCCTGAGCTAAGCCCTTCATGGGTTACATCAGCAACCCTCAGCACCCTACACTCGGGAGCCACGGCAGCGGGCAGAGGTGGGAGTCTTAGCACCGACTGGGGGAGCCAGACTTTCGAACCCATGGCGCACTCCGACCCCTCCCCGCCTCTCCGATCCAGCCCTAGCTGTCTCCAGGTCCCATCTCGCCCCCACCCAAGCCGAGTCCTGCACGGATCATCAGTGCTTGCAGCCTCGCCATTGTCAGAGGAGAGAACTCAGGGCGTTCTTAGAAGAGAAGCTACCGCAAAGGCGAGCGGCCGGCCGCGGGCGTCCAGGCGGCGTGGCGCACGTGCACCGCCCCGAGGCGCCCGCGGGAGGGTGGGCAGTCCGGGAAGGGCAGAGGGCGGGAGGAGCAGCAGCCGCCCGCTCCGGCATTCCAGCGGGTCCCGGAACGACGTGCCGGGCTCCTCGGCCGGGCTGCCCGGCCGGGACGCACAGGGGGCGTGGCCATCCGGGCCGAACCAAGAGCGCAGATTCGCAGGGGGAGCCGTGACCCGGGGAGCGCGCGCGCCGCCCGGCCGGCCGGGGTGGTGCCGCTGCGGCCACGCCCCCACCCCTGCGCCCGGCGCGAACGGTGGTAGCGCCTCAGGGGTTTGGGCCTGCGTCCTGCTCAGGTGCCGGGAGAGGTGTCCTGCAGCCCCGCGGTGAGTGCGCGCGGTCGCGACTGTGGGGTTGTGGAGGTGGGGGCGCCGGGGCTTGGGGTGCCGAGACGCCGGCGCCTGGCGCCCTCTGGCCCTCGCGGCCGCCCGAGCTTTCGGTGCTGGGGCGGGCTCTCGGGCCGGGCAGCTGCGTGCCTCACCCGATGCTCTCGCAGTCAACGCGGCGCCCACCTCGGCCCTTGCCGAGATGGCCCATTCCCCGCGAGCTGACCTCTCGCGGCAGCTTGAGGGTCGTGGTTTTCTCTGCTGAGGGCGTCCGAACTGCCTTTGTCCAAGGGCGCGGTCTCGGCGTCAGAGGGTTCTGGGCTCCCGTCCCTGCACCATCACCCTCTGGCTAAGCCACTCTTACTGCCGGAGCCTCAGTTTCCCCGTCTGCCAAATGGGCTCAGGAGCCAGCAGTTATTGGAGTGGCTCACGTAGGAGGCGCTCGGTGAGTGGGAGTGAGACCCGCATCTGACCCTGCAGCCTACGGTGGGCTCGGGAGCCAGCGGCTGGTCGCTTGTGGGAATCTCAGCGTGCTGGCTAGCGGTGGCATCTCTAGGGACAGTGACCCTTGAGGGCAGGTGCGTTGGTGCTTCTCGGACTGACCTTTACCGGGTTTGCTGAACTGGGTGCATTGGGTGAGAGGTCGAGGTCTTCTGGGCGGAGGGGAACTTCAGGAAACTTGACCTCGACTTTTTGCTTTTCATTTCTCAAGGCATCCTCCTTGTGTAAGCTGATGACCAATGCTTAGGAGTTTGGAGTCAATTCAAAGAATGTAGCTGCCTCCTCTCTGAGACCCATAAATGCAACTTTCCCTCTCAGCTTGACCAGGCTAGAGAATAACCTGGAGTGGGTTTAAACCTTAAACTTCTTGAGACTGTTTAATCCTCAGTAACAGAGTAACCCAGTCCAGCCTTCTACTGCTTAGCCCCCACCCCAGGATTGAGGTGCTGAAGATCAAATGAGAGGGTCTTGGAGACATTAAGAACTGTTCCTTAAGCCAAGGAATTGCTAACTTCTGGTTAGTGCCCCTTATACAGTGCTTATTCCTCAGACGCTTGTTTTGCAAAAGGCATTGATTCTTTATCCATTCCTAAGTTCTACCTCTACAGGTGCCCTTTGGGTGACGGTGGGATTGGCTTGATCCAGGAAAAAGTCCTAAAACCCCAGTTAGTAAAGCAGTGAACCCAGAGAGATCACTTGCTCAATTTTGTGTTTCTCTAAGGCATTCTTACCCTCCTTTTGAGAGAGTCGTTGCTTGGTGGATTTGCCGTGCTTTTCCTGCAGGCTTTCATTCCATACCAGTAACTGTTCCGCTGGGCAGATAGCTTAATCATTGCCTTTGTGTCCCAAAACATCGGCATTTCAGAGAATAACATGTTAGCTCCCAGTTGTGTTGTGAAGACTTAGGATTGATCTTACCTTTAAAATTCTTCGTTTCTCACATTGGAAACATTAACAGATAGGCCAGCCTCCACTGAGACGAAGGGAACTCTAGGGATGGAAGTAGCATTATTGAATGCAGGCAACACGAATAAGGCAGGTGAATACTCCTTGGCAGTGTGAGTTCTGCTTAGGTGCCGGTGCTTGACAAACCTGAAATTTTAGAACTTGCCAATGACTTTGGGTTGATCCTGCCTTAACCCCTTGCAAATCAGAATCTGAGTCAAACAAGTCCATGTGTATTTAGGAAATAGGCTATTTGATATCAGAACCATTTGGCAAATCAGAACACTTATTAAACTCTGGAACATTTCAAGCTATTTAAGGATTTCGATTTTAAGCAAACTTTTTTTTTCTTGATGTAAAACTTCTGTAAGTGCTAGCACCGTTCATGGTTCCAGAGAGCCCAGTTGCTCCTGTGCTAGTCTCTGCTTCCTGTGCTTTAGGAAGGAGCAGAACACTGAGTGGGGGACCAGGGAACCTGAGTTCCAGTGTGGCACTAGTGCTGTCTGCCCTTTGCCAAAGCACCCCAGCCTGCAGGCCTCTCTGTTAGTGCGCTACAGCTCAATTTGTTATATGTCACCTTCTTTTAAATACTAAAATCAGAAGGAAATGGAGAAGTAACTCTTTAATAAAAATGTATTCTCCTTATAAATATATTAAGTGATATTGTTAAACTTAAAGAAATACACAACAGAGGCAGTGAACATTCCTTAGAACCTGACATTGAGACCAAAAAATCTCCATTGGCATTTTTCTTCACAAATAATTTTTTTTCACTTAAACAACAAAAAAAATTTTTTTAAAGATTTATTTACTTATTTATGCATACAGAACTGGGGTGCAGGCCAGAGGTGCAGGGGGTGAGAGGATTCACCAGAGACAGAGAGGGGAGCAGAACAGGCAGACTGACAAGGTCTGCCGCGCCATGTGGTCACCTCTGGGGCAGGCAGGGATCGAACTCATGCGGAAGTGGCTTTCGATTCCTAGTGCTGTGCTTTAACCCGCTGCGCCACCAGGGAGGGCCCTAAACAACAAAGTTTTAACTGCCAAAACTTTAAACACAAAACTAAGGCGACACTACTTACGCCTTTTGGAGGCTTGCTTTCCATGTCAGGAGCTACCTCATTCTCTTTCTGAGGCTCACTTTTTAAAAAATGACTCTTTCAGTAACCAGTATTATTGAAAACAATTATGCTGTTTGTCATTTTTTGCCATTAGGAATTCTGCTACAGTGAGTCGTCTTACCTTTTTATCTTTGTGCAATTGGGCAAACATTTGTGCATAATGAATTCTTAGAAGTGGCAGATCTGAAACAATGCTTGCGGGCTTTTAGATGTATTTTCTTAACAGATATTGAGGATTTGCTATGTATCAGACACTGTATGAGGTGTCAGGAATACAGCAGTGAAGAAATAGACAATCCTCATGGATCGGGGTCTTCTACGGGGGCAGAGAAGAGGGAGAGAGGCTGAGGCAGCATACATGGTTTATCGAAGAATGATAAATAATTTGGGATTTAGCTCTTTCTTATAGGTCAGATTCATTTATCAGAAGCAAAAAAAAAAGAAAAGAAAGATGGAGAAATTCCTGCTTTCACCAAAATTATAAAAACATGAAGTTTATAAAAATATGAAGTACTTATTAGTACAAAAAGACTACATTTGTGTATTCACAGAAATAGCCAACATAGACAGTGAACATCCCTCAGAGGATCCTTGCACTGAGATATTTTCTCTATGGAGAGAAATGCAGAGGGTGTGTGTGTAAATGGTGTGATTAAATGCCAGTAGACATTGCAAAACTACCCTCCAAAAAATGCTATCTTGTTTCACTCCCACCTACATAGATGCATTTTTTAATTCAGAATTCTACAATCAATTGTGAAGATTAACTGTTGGCTGCAGGGATGCTTTTATTTCAGGAGAGCTTATGCCAGACTCTGCTAATTTTGTATTATGGATACACGTGTGTATACATGAATTATCCATTGATATTTTTAAAGTTCTTTTGACGACCCCCAGAAGGCTGGCATTTCCATGTCTACTTCACAGCTGGGGAGGCCATCTCAGAGATAAAATTCCTTGTTCAAGGCTCTGAGAATGAAACTGAGATCTAACTCAGAACCACCTCATTCCAGAGGCTCACTCCTCCTCCTTTTGTGTGGTGTTAATCTCATTTTTTAGCTGTCGGGATTGTTTTTTTTGGAAGAAGGGAAGTCTTCTAATAGATATAATTGCTGAATAATGATGTGATTATTCCGCCTGGGTTCAAGTATCACAAAGCACAAACAAGTATATCTGTCTACAGGTCTCCTGATATGTTTCATTATATGGTGTAAGAAATATAAGTGAAATGCATATTCTAGAGATAGATGAAGCCAGTTCTATTATTATTGTTTTACTATTGTTATATAGGCTAGAGAACAAAACTTGTTTTCTTTGTGTCGTTATTTTTCATATTTACTTGATTAAAGTTTAGACTCATCAGGCAGGTGGGGAGAAGCTTCTAGGTCAGAGGTAGCTTACCGACCCATAGGCTGGTGCCAGGCCCTACTTCATCAAGTGGAGGAAAGAATCCCTGCTCCACCCCCTCCTGGAACACTCAATGTGTTTCATTTTTGGCTGCTAATTCTCCCTGTTCTTGGCAAGCTTTCCCTCCTTGTGGAATAACACTTTAAAAAAATACATGTTTGGTCCTCAGGATCTAAGCTTCTGTGTTTGGGGCCAGGTGCAGATACTTGAGGTCTCTGGTGGGCAGAGGCAGAAACAGAAAGGTGGACATTTGTGACAGAGCCCCTAGAACTCACTCTAGAGACTGCATCAGTGGCTCTTATCCTTGGTGCTGACCAGTCTGTGCCGGGAAGCACCCACAAGGAGCTACCATCCTGGGGAAAGGGGGGCGCACAAGACCCCCCAGAAGAGGTGACATTGTGGTTGAGTCCTGGAAAGTAGGTAAAAATTCACTGAGCCCACCAAGGCATGTACCCTCTGTGGTTGGGGGGCTTTGAGCCATGCTGAGTGATGGGAAATCTTAACATGATAGTGATGAAAGCAGAACAGTTTGCTTATAATGGGTTTTCTTTCACCCTTTCTTCCTACCTAGTGTTTTCTCTCTGGGTGAATTCATCAGGTGGGAATCTTCCTATGCCTAAATCTATAAGCAGACAGTTTTAGGGCTCTACGTCTTCAATATGTTTTCTTCCCCAACCCTCTCCCCACGTGAGGTGTTTACGTTAGTCGTGTACCTGTTGGGAAGTGTAAGTGTGGGGGCGAGGTGGAGACAGAGTGAATGAGGCGGAAGATTCCCACGGTAGATTGGCTCTTCATAGGCTGCTGGCGCCTGTTGTTGGGGCCATTTGGAGCCAAATTCATCAGCCTCTCATGCCCAGTGCTGGTTTGTTTGCTACCTTGATTAACTTGGGTATGTTGTGGCCAAAAACCTGGGGGCCTTGCTCTGCTTCCCGGTGGCTTGTGGATGTGATTATCAATTTATTTCACTCACAAAGAGGTGGCAGGTTAGGGGAAATGGAGGGACTTAATTGGAGTGCCAAAGGGTGA